GGGGAGGAGGCAGAAATTTTTAATAAATAAATAAATAAATAAGGAAAAAAAAGGACACAGAAAAAAAATACTGGCAAACCAAATCCAAGAACACATCCAAAAAAAATTATATATTATGATCAAGTAGGCTTCATCTCAGAGATGCAGGGCTGGTTCAACATACGAAAATCTATCAATGTAATCCATCATATAAATAAACTGAAAGAAAAAAATATGATCATTTCATTAGATGCTGAAAAAGCATTTGACAAAATTCAACACCCCTTTATGATAAAGGTCTTGGAGAGATTAGGGATACAAGGGTCATACCTAAATATAATAAAAGCAATATACAGCAAGTCGACAGCTAACATCAAACTAAATGGAGAGAAACTCAAAGCCATTCCACTAAAATCATGAACAAGACAAGGCTGTCCACTCTCTCCATACCTCTTCAATATAGTGCTTGAAGTTTTAGCAATAGCAATAAGACAACATAAGGAGATCAAGTGGATTTGAATTGGAAAGGAAGAAGCTAAACTTTTGTTATTTGCAGATGATATGATAGTGTACATAAGCAACCCCAAAAACTCTACCAAAGAACTCTTACAGCTGGTAACTTGTTCATTATTTATGAAGGCCGAATACTGCATATGAACCAAATCTAGCCTCTTTCCTCGTGAAGGACCTTTAGGTTGTTTCTGGTTTGTTTCTTTGACTCACAAGGTTGAGATGAACCTCCTTGCACATGGGTTATTTTAAATCCCATTGCAATATTCACTACTGATCCTTTTCTCATTCACCTTAGTAGACTATTCCCGCAATTATTTTAGCTTTGCAATCTGTCATCCAGTGTATTTTATATGTGTGCTATATATTACATATATCATCACACAGTTAAAAATAAAGTGTGTGAGCACAGTTATGTATGTATGTGAGTGAGTTCAGGGTATGTGCACCCCACAGTGTGTATGAGGAGAGCAGGTGATAACCTCAAATGTCCCTTTTGATCTGCCATCTTGTTTGGACCAGGATCTCTTGTTTGGAACTGCATAGGTCAGGCTAGGTGGCCTACAAGTTTCTGGAGAGTCTCCTGCCCCTCTTCCATCTCCGCATAGGAGCTCTGGCATTACAAATATGCGTGTCACCTTGTCCAGCTTTACCTGGGTTCCAGGATCTGAACTTGGGACTTCACATTTACAAGGCAATTCCTTTACCAATTGAGTCATCTCCAAGCACCACTATGTTTTACTTTCTGGGGGTAGTTATTAAAAATTAATTGTGGAGTTGCTTAGCTGCATGGTAAAATATCAAATTGTTTATTTATTATTATTTCAAGTGGCATTATGGATGTGCATACCACATCATGTCTGTGGAAGTCAGAGGACAATTTGTGAGAGCTGTTTCTCATCTTCCATCATGTGGGTTCCAGGATCAAATGTGGGCTGCCCGTTTCTCATAGTTAGCATGAAGCACAGCCCTGTTTCAGAATATTCTTCTTTCTCAGTTGCTTAGGTAGAATTGAAAGGGGTGGGTACATGATCAAGGGACAAATAGAAAGTCCCAATCAAAGTGCCATCATAGTGTCATTTCATATGGAGGTTGTGATCAGAATCGAGGCATGAGTTTGTACAGCCAAAGAGTAAGGAAACAGAACGTGGCACACTTCACCTCAAACCCAGCAGGTCTCACATTTCACAGTTTACATCAAAAGTTCGGGTAACAAGAGTCAAGTGTGATGGTACAGCCCTCTAAGTCCAGCACTTGGGGAGTCTGTCGTCAGCCTGCATTCCATGGGTCCCTGTCTCAGAGTGGAGGGAGAAGCCTGGAGAATCCAGCCTCTCTCAGGGGCACTTAGTTGCCTTCTCAAATGCTCTCCGAGGCCTCAGAATCAGCATCAGCTGGTAGCTCCCTGAGTGGCTGATGCCTGGCTTTCTGCAGATCTGCTGAGTCAGGGTCTGTGACTGCCAGCAGTCTGTCCCAACAAGCTTTCCAGGAGGTCCGGGAGCACACAGCTTCCCTGGGCTACAGCAGCGCGGTAGACTTTGAACTTCAGAACCAGACTGCATGAATTTGAGTTCCATTTCTCTCATAAACCAGCCCTTCGAGAATGCGGCATTTGGTCGTACCATTAAAACTGTGTGTCCCAGGCCTCATCTGAGAAACAAAGCCGGAGGGAGTGTCTGTTTCCGATGTGCGCACTCATACTCACGAAGCACTTAGAACGGCGTTTGCTACACAGCAGCTGCTCTGAAGGCACCTCCTGCATTACACGAGTGTAGCAATAGCCTACTAAATGCTTCTGGAGCCTGCAAACAGCAGAAGCTCGAACCTGCGTCTCATATCAGACGAGCGATCATGCCGTACATGCATGCGTGCACTCACTCATCAAATCTGTATTTTAAAAAATTCAAGTTGAAGCCACGGTGCCCTAGTGTTCTGTTTTGCTTTGGTCAGTTTGATACAGCTGCTGTCACCGGAGAAGCGGGAATCTCGAGGGATAAAGGCTTCCCTTCCATCAGATTGGCCTGTAGGCAAGCCAGTGGGGCATCTTCTTAATTGGTGTTAGCTGTGGAAGGGTGCGGCCTGTTGTGAGTCACACCGTCCCCGGGCAGTCGGTCCTGGGAACTATCAAAAAGCAGACTGAACCAGTCACCAAGAGCGAGTCAAGAAAAAGTATGGCTTCTGCTTCAGTTCCTGCTTCCAGGTTCCTGCTCTGACTTCCTTTCATCTTGAACGGTAAGATGTAAGATGTTTTCCTGGTGTGAGCCTCTCCCTTCCTGTAAACTGTAAGGCGAAATGAACCTTTTCCTCTCCAAGCGGCTCTGATCCCAGTCACAGAAGCTTAAGTAAGAACCATGGCGAAATTGAGGGAAAACCACTATTCAAGAGAAAGGGGTATCTAAACAAAAAAAACAGTAGGAAGAATCCTCAAAACAATCCCTCATTACCAAAGATTGGAACTTTCCCCCTAGTCAGAACAGTACTTACTACACACAGACAGTGGTAAGTTGATTATTATGTCGTAGTCTGCTCCAGTTTTGCCCAACGTGAGTATTTAAAGAGAGATGTAAAGTCCACTGTAGGGATTTTGATGGTTTGTGAACGAATTCACCCTTTAGATAAAGTGGAAGGAAAACAAGCTCAGTACAGGGGGCACGGGAGGCAATGGCAGCACAGAGGGGCACACAGTGATGGGCTGTGTGCATGCGGTGGGGGTGGAGGGATATGGATAAAACAACAAGCCAAAAAAAAAAAAAAAAGCCTATGTTAAAGGAAAAGCAAAGCCTGTTTACATTTGAATTATTTTTCAAGTTTTCATGAATGCAGACATGCAAGGATCACGTATGGACATTAGGTGGCAGACCATACCCACAAACCAGTGTAAGAAACCAGCGACCCCCCTCAGCTCTGGCAATGCGTGATGTGCTGACTGAGATGCTTTCTGAGAAGTGCATCATTAGGAGAACTCATGCCCGTGGGCACACCCCAGGCTGCACTTGCATAAACCCGCATGGGAGCCTCCTATACGCCGAGGCTCTCTCTGTGGAGTAGCCTAATGCTCCCGAGCCCCAAACCTGCACAGCCATAGTACTCAAACTGCCATACAATGGTAAACGCCTGTGCATCTAAACACAGAGAAGGCCCAGTAGAGTACAGTAGGTAAGATTTTTAAATGCTGCCGTGCGCTTGTATGGAGTAGTTAGCGTGCATGGAACCTGCAGGATGGAACCTGCAGGACAGGCATTCCTTTGGAAAAGCCAGTGGGTGAGCAATGACAGAGTGGGAATGTCTATGACATTACTGTGCACTGCCATAGATTAACACAGTCCGCACTTAGGCTGTGCTGCTTGTTAGTTTGTTTCTTTGGAACAGTGTCGTGGAATCGAATATTTGTTTAACTAAGTAAAGATGTGTTACATTTGGTTCTGTTGCAGAATAATTGTTTATGGAAAGATATATTGCATTTCTTTAACTATGTAAAGGTGTGTTGCTTTTGTTTTTGCTGAGTTTTTTTTTTTTTAACTATGTATAGGTGTGTTGCTGTTTGACTTTTCCTGCCTAAGGCACCTGATTGGTCTAATAAAAAGCCAAATGGTCAATAGCTAGGCAGAGGAGGGATAGGTGGGGCTGGTGGGCAGAGAGAAAGGGGGAGCTGGCCAGTCCGGGGCCCAGCCAGCCAGAGCCAGCCACCCAGAAGTGGGGGAAGCAGGAAAGCAGGATGGACAGTACAGAGATGAGGTGTACGAGCCCCAGGTCAACACATAGATGAAGAGAAATAGGTTTCTTTAAGTTAAAGAAAAAAACTAGTGAGAAACAAGCCTAAAGCCAAGGCTGAGCATTCGTAATTGATAGTAAGTCTCCCTGTCACGGTTTGGGGTCCCGCGGTCCAAGAAAGCCTGCTACAGAACAGGGGCTTGCTACATAGCCCAGATTACCTTGAATTTGTAATCCTTGTGCCTCCATTTCCTGTGTGCTGGGAGTGTTCCCACACTCAATAAAATTTTAATTTTATTTCCTTTTAACTTTTGGACTCTTTTGTAATAGCACCTTAAAACACAAAACCATAAATCTATACAAACATTGTTTGTGCCCTTATTATATAACTGTCTAATTCTAAATTACCTTTCCTTAGCATTTAAACTTTTGGGTTAAAGACTAAGACAAACATCAGTTTGTCAATACTAAGTCAGGTTCATCATTTTTGCTGTCTTCCACATCTGTCCTGCAGGAAGGCCTGCCAGAGTGCTAACACGGAACTGTAATCTCCTGTTGTAAATGTTCTTTAACCGTAAACTCCATGGATTTGCTTGGCTTTTTTTTTTCCATCATGAATTTGTTTTTTAGTAGATAATGTACCGTGAACACGTCTTTGCATTAACTCCCTCACAGTTGGGGTCCATGTTTAAATTTTAAGCAGATGGTTGAGGTCTGCACTGTGAATTTGCTTGGGGCCCCTTGCTCTACAGCAGTGGTTCTCATGAACCTTCCTAGTACTACAACCTTTAACCTAGTTCCTCAATCTTAAAATTATTTTTGTTGCTGCTTCATCACTATAATATATGATAAATATAATTATATATCATAGCATAAATGTATGATATGCCACCCTTGTGGGAGGTCGTGACCCACAGGTTGAGAATCACTCCTCTACATTGTCTTTTCTTTCAGTTCTGTAGCTGTGCATCCAGGTTCCAGGACTTAACAGTTCTTCATTTGTCACCGAGACCACCTCTAGGAACTTGCTATAATGTCCCCTGCATGCTCATCTGTTTGAGCATTTGGTCCTGAGATGGTGGCAGACACAGTTTTAGGAAGTTGAAGGGAAGACTCAGTGGAGCAGGTGCCTCTCTAGAGGGCATGTTTTGAGGATCCAACAGCCTACTACAGTTCCAGCCTGAACTCTGCTTCCCAGTCTTCCAAGAGCAAGTGACTCACGCTCCCATCACCAGGCCTCCCTCGCTGTGATGATGTCTCCCTTCTCACCGTAAGACAGAATCAGCCCTTCCTCCCTCAACTTCTTGTCACAGCTCAGCTCTTCCGCAGCATCCTAGCTGTGCCTGGCATAAAGTTTGCCATCATAGACACAGCTTGCTTGTTTTGGCAGCCACCTCACCCATGGCAAAGCTCTGGTCAGGCAAACTTATAGTGTTCTCTTCCAGATGACACTTATACACTCCTTAGTGATATCATGCCAAACCCATGTGAGGTTCTTGATGTGGTCAGAGATGTTGTAACTCTTCTAGAATGGTATCAGTGTCTTGCTCAGTTGTAACAGCAGCCTCAGCAGAGCAGCTAGTAGGCCTTAAAAGCTCCCATGATTTCTTGATCCTTTGCTTGCATCAAAGAAGTGGTTTTTAAGAAAGAAACACCACAGCCGGGCGGTGGTGGCACACGCCTTTAGTCCCAGTACTTGGATCTCTGGGAGTTCAAGGCCAGCCTGGTCTACAAGAGCTAGTTCCTGGACAGGCACCAAAGCTACAGAGAAACCCTGTCTCGGAAAAAAAAAAAGAAAGAAAGAAAGAAAGAAAGGAAGGAAGGAAGGAAGGAAGGAAAGAAAAGAAAAGAAAAGAAAAGAAAAGAAAAGAAAAGAAAAGAAAAGAAAAAGAAAGAAACACCACTTTGCACTTTGGCATGGGGATTAAAATCCCCAACAAAAGGATATGTGGGGACATTACCTACAGCAAACAAAATCTGGAAACGAATGTCATTTTCCAAGAAGCCCTTTTCTGTTTTGTTTGCACAACATTTTAAGAGGGTGTCTTGGAGGAGGAGCTGGGCTGTCTTACCATTTCTGGCCACAGGTGCTAATTGATATGCACAGAGGCTGAGTGCCCTCACTGTGCCAGATCAAAGTCTCCACCTGTAGCCTGCCCATTGCCTCATGTGCAAAGACTTCAGTCGCAAAGGCCTTGCAATCTGGTACTAGCTTGGCTTTGTACTGTATGGCAGGCCTTGCAGGGTTTCATTTCCAGACCGGGAAGAGTTCATCTGCAGTGAGAGTTTTCTTCCCCCACCAGCAGGGTATCTGGGGCTTTCATAAACTCCCCCGCTGTCTTCACACAACATGTGCACTGCTTCGCGTCCATGTATGTGTGACCACCATGTCTCAATCATTTGAGCTCCTGGAGCTGAGAAGCAAGTTCAACATGATGGGCAGCTTCAGAAGCTTTTCCTAGCAAACCGTTTATTTCAGCTGACTGGCCTGGTTCTGGGTCTGGTCTTCAGTGCAGTTCACTAGAAGTTTCTAGATCTGATGCAGGCTTTCCTTGAATTCCCATTAGCCTCTTTCTCTTCAGTGAAGGGGATCCTTTAACCACGCCAGTTTTCATTCTTGTTCCACGATGCTGGCTGTGACACTATTCCACTCTTAGGGATAGCATGCCATGCTGGCCGTTATTGTGGTTCCCAAGGATCATAGCAGATAGGATGATCAGTTGCTTCACTCCCTCAGAAGTTTGCATAGCGTCTTCCAGTTCCTTCGATCCAGCGTGGATTCATTAAGTCCTGTCCAAAGTGCGTGGTGTCCTCAGCAATAGGACTTAACTTCAACCTCTGGGAGGTAACCCAGGGCAACAATGTCCTGTATTGTTTTAGGAGTCTCTCGGACTTGCCTGATCAACTTGAAAGGAGTTTTCTCACGCCTGGTATTGGGTGTTTTGTTAGACAGTCTATGGCTCTTGGGGGGAAGAATTGTAGCCCAAGTGACATAACTTTTTAAAACTGTGTCTGTGTACATACATACATTTATATGTGTTATATGTAATCTTAGGTAAATAAAAATTGATATGATTCCTATATAGCTTTTCAACCAAGCCTAGCGTAGGAGTGGGAGAAATAGTCTTCTCTAGGGATGAGCCCCATAATTGATTTTTCAATACCCAGTGGTCAGCCCCCAAATCATATACATTCAGGTTACACTAAACAAACCAAGCAGGCTCTATATCTATATTTATGCACATAGAAGATAAACATAGCAGTAACAAAGAAAAAGAGGCCATGGGTTTGGGAGAGAGAAATACAGGAGCATGTGCAGGGTCAGAAGAAAGAAAGAGAAGGGGAAATGATCTAATTATATTCTCATTAAAAAGCTTTAAAAAAAAGCAGTCTCACAAGGTTACGTTCTATATGATTCCTTTTAAATGACTTCCCTGAAAATACAGATGGGAGATGGAGAAGTCACAGGCAGGGGAGGGAGGGATAGAAAGGTGGCTTTTCTGTGGTTGACAGAACTCCTTTGTTTTCGTGGGAAATGCATGGATCTGTTATGTATACGATTCACAGACACATAAATAAGCAAGAAGAACCAATTTCCTGGAGCTAAAATCAGAATAACATTGAGGTAGTTTTCTTAATAGCAAACATCCCTTCTCTTCAAAAAGCCTTGGGCGGTGTGGAGAGGTTAGGGCCAAATTGCCTTTCCTCATATTCAATTTTTGTTCAGTCCTCTCTCCTTTTCCACAGGAAAGATGGCCATCAAAGCAAAGAGAGACAAAGGCCCCCAGGCACATCTGGAAGCTAGAGCCTTCTGTTTGGAAGCTGAGCGGTACGATGAAGCCGCGCACTGGCTGGCGCTCATCTGTGTCACGCACAGCACACTGGGGCCTGAGTTGGTCTGCCAGCTGAAGAAGATGAGAGGCTGTAATTGCAGTTCTTCAAAAGCTTAATTAACAAGTGAATGCAGTAGCGAGCCACTTAATTAATGGCTACATAATGAGTATTCTGTACAACCTGTGTTTCACCGACCCGTTTAGCCACATGACTCAAACCTGTAACTAAATTTCACCTACAGTTACTAAAATTCACGTGACTTGCTCCTTCCCTAGTTAATTCCCATGCTTATCAAGATAACCAAGCTGATCAGTGAAACTCCAACTTGCTCCTTCTGTCTTGTAGTGATATTTCATTTGTATCTTAATAAATAAACTTTGCCTGAAGATCAGTGAGTACACCAGACTGGTCAGCCCGTACAGACCAGGCAGTGGTGGCACACACCTTTAATCCTAGTAGCCAAAGTTTGCCATAGAAACTTGGTGGTAGTAGTGCATGCCTTTAATCCCAGCCCTGGAGAGGAATAAGACCGGAAGAGACAGGTCTTAGCCGAGTCTCATTCTGAGGATTCCTGGAGGCAGGATGGCCATTTTGGTCTGATGTAGAGGAAAGAGCCAGTAGCTCGCTGCCTTGCTTTTCTGATTTTCAGGTTGAACCCCAATCTTTGTCTCTGGGTTTTTATTATTCATGCTACACTAACTTATGGCAATTGTTACCATTCTCTGATATTACCCAAGCTCTCCCATTTTATTTAAGACATCTTTTCTATTGTCCACATCAATCTAAAAACAAATTTCCCTTTGTCTATCTGCATTTCGAGGGTTGTTGGGTTTTATTTCCTCATAAATGCAACTTTATTACCTATAACCCACTAAATCCTGTGAAGATTAAATTTCAGAAGGATCTATGATCACAGAAAAGTAACATAATTCAACAAGTCCTGTGGTCTATTTTCTATGACCTTGTCTTGAAAAACGAGACTGTAGATGGGGTTAATTTTATGTGTATTCTTTCCTTGTTTACAGCAAGGTGAATTATACTAAATATAATACCACCTAGCATGGCACTGGGCTCCTTCCCTATGACACCTTACTGAACTGCTACACACACTTATGAAATTGATATCGTATGTAGAGATGCTAACTAACAGCAAATACGTTACTTTCCACACTGTGATAAAGGCTCTGACAAACCAAGGATGGGAGGGTTTGCTTTGGCTCACAGGCTGCAGGGACAGTCTGTTATGGCAGCAAATCATGGTGGAAGTAGCACTTGGCATCCTGATGTCCTCAAATCTTGATGCATGTTAGGTTTCTGTTGCTCTGAGAAAGGCTATGACCAAAAACAACCTGGGAGAAGAAAGGGCTTATTTGGCTTATACTTCTAGGTCACAGTTCATTGCTGAGGGGGTCAGAGCAGGAACTCAAGCAGGAAACGGGAGGTAAGAAGGACTGGAGAAGAGTCCTTGGAGGGATGCTGTTTGCTGGCTTGCTCCTCAAGGTCAGATATCTTCTCCAACCTCCCAGGGCCACCTGCCCAGAGGTGGCATCCCTCACAGTATGCTGGGGCCTCCAATATCAATCATTGATCAAGAAAATGCCCCTCCTCAGGCTTCTAACAGGCTGGTCTACAGGGCATTTTCTCAAATGAGGTTCCCTCTTCTCAGATGACCCTAATCTGCATCAAGATGACAAAAATCTAACCAGCTCTTTGGAACAGGAAACAGAACAGACAGGAAGTAGAGCGGGGATATTAAACCTCAAAGACCCGGCCCCTGGCACTCACTTTCGTCAGTGAGGTTGCCCCTCTGCAGATTTTCATCACCTTCCCAAACAGCAGTACCAGCTGGGCCCCAAATACTGAAACACATGAGCTTATGGGGGCATTTCACATTCAAACCACAGCATCTGAAAACTTGAAATCTATAGTTATAGTCCAGCTTTGACACCCTAACCAACCTTCCTTGGCAAACCCAGGCCCTCATCCCTGCTCTGCTCCCAGCCAGTCTGCCTTGGGAATGCTGGGGCTGCCCCGCTGTGCCATCTCGTGGCATTCCAGCCCACTGGGAAAGACCAAAGACTTAGACTCAGTTCAAAATTAGAGTAAATAGATTTATTCTTACTGCTAGCCGAAGGACAGCAGCCTTAGAGCCCAACAGCAAGGGGACAAAGGGAAGAGTTTATGAAGGTGGACATCAAAGGCGGACATTACAGTTATCTGTGGAATCCGTGGCTAGGCAAGAAAATCGTTCTGCTTCTCTCAGCTGTCTCCTTTCCCGGTGGATAGTAATAAAAGGACCATTTCATCTCACTCCCACAATGGTCAGCAAGTTTACAAAAGCAGGAACACTGTTATCCCATTCTTATCTCGCCTGCAGGCCACTCGGACCTCACCGGCAATCCAGGGCAAAGATCAATGGCCCTTAAGGGATGCCTGGTACCATATTAAGTTTCCTCTGCCATCACAGGGGAGTTATGTGTAAATTATTACACAGGTCTGAGCTCTCTGGGGGAAGTGTCACTAATTGAACTGGGATAGAGCAGTCAATCAGGTTAGGACTGGCTGTCAAGTCCCCACGATCTCTTGGCCTCTCTAGGGACGTCAGTAGCTGAGTCTCAGTCCCTCATACTCCTCAGTTCTGGCACTTTTCCCATAGGCTGTTGGTGGCCTTGTAGATGATTATTCAAGATATTCTTGCTTGAATTCAATACTAATGACTACACGGGATCGTGCTTTGTAACTAGAAGTGTGATCCATTGCTGTCGAATAATCCTCCTGTATGCTGTGAATATGTATTCCTCTCATTGGTTAATAAAGAAGCTGATTTGGCCTATAGCAAGGCAGAATAAGGACAGGTGGGAAAGGCAAACTGAAAATACAGAGAAGAGAAGGGCAGAGTCCAGGGAGGTGGAAGCAAGATGCCAGAGAACAGGTAAAGCCATGAAACCACGTGGAAAAATGTAGATGAATATGCTTTAATTTAAGTTGTAAGATCTACTTAATAATCAGCCTGAACTACAGGCCAAACATTTTGGAATTAATATAAGCATTTGTGTGATTATTTGGGACTGGGTAAACAGGACACAAAGAAAAGCTTTGCCTCTGTTTATAATCCATTATAGAAATAAAAATCTAAAATAGCCAGGTATAGTATTGCACACCTTTAATCAAAGGCAGAGACAGGCCAATTTCTGTGAGTTCAAGTCCAGCCTGGTCTATATAGTGAATTCTAGGCTAGCTAAGACTACAAACTGAGAACCTGTCTTTAAAAAATTAAAGTTTCTGAGCAAACCCTCCGCTCCTCTACTCTTTTAGCTCTTTCCTGCCCAAACACCACTTAACCCCATAAAAACTTCTGATCTTTGTCTATCTTTCTTTGTGTTGCCTTCTAACCTTCCCGCTTTCCATTTTTCCATATCTGACTTGAAACTCTCAATCACTTGATTTTTTTAATATTTTTGTTTTGTTTTCTATGTATAATTTTATTTAAAAATATAAATGTGTAATTTTTAAACAGTAGGAACATATGATTCCTCTAAAAGCTAATTTTGTTAAAGGTCCAGACTTATTTTTTTTTAAAATATGTTTCTATCACTTGGGACTTAACTCATTTTTTCATTTTTCACAGAAAAATCACATTTATCATATACTAATTTTTATATGTATTTATCCATAATTCTAAAATTTACTTTTTTTCCCTCCATAATTGTCTGTCTTTTCATGGGCCCTGAGCCAGCTGTCTAGCCTGCATCTTATTCTTTTTTTTCTTTTTCTTTTCTTTTTTTTTTTTTTTTTTTTGATTTTCGAGACAGGGTTTCTCTGTAGCTTTTGGTTCCTGTCCTGGAACTAGCTCTTGTAGACCAGGCTGGCCTCGAACTCACAGAGATCTGCCTGCTTCTGCCTCCCGAGTGCTGGGATTAAAGGCGTGCACCACCACTCCCGGCTTGCATCTTATTCTTGATCTACTACAAATGGAGGCAAAAAATATCTTACAAAGTAGAAAGGATGCAGGGTCTCACTAGAACCCCTAAATGCCACAATTTCAATGTTCTGACCCAAACCACCATAAACCTGACAACAGTCTATATACTCAATACAAGTGTCATCCAAGTGGCTTTTACCTCCTTGACCTGAACCTCAAGAGGCCAGGAAGAGTCTGTAGGAGGCAGAAGGGATGAGTCCACATGACTGGGAAGAAGGGACACTGGTAGTTTTCCTGCAGGCTGGTGAGAGAGACAATGCCTGGCTTCCATCCCGGAAAACCCACTCTCCTTCTGCCCTCATCGCATGGCCAGGCCCTGCTTGCATTTCTGAAGACCACCTGCTTGCAGCACCCTGTTTGATTTCATCAGCCTCAAGATCAATGGAAATTGTGCCTGAGGGTGACAGTTTACTTCTGTAATTATAAGAAGTTGATATGTATCAAAACACTAAAGGAAGTAAAAAAAAAAATCACCACCACCAGCCTTCACTGTTAGTCTGTTTGAAATAATTCCTTTTTATCCTTAGCATGATAACAAATCTTTATAGAGCCAACCATGTTTTGTTTTTTATTCCCTCTGACAGTGGAGCTGACTTGAAGCATCTCCTCCGTAGGTTCTGTATTCATGCGTTAATGAACTTTATTTGAAGGTTCTGTTGGTGGTTGGCTTCCTGCTGAAATCCACTTACTCTTTCTTTAATGCAGTGTTCTCCTCGCTCAGAGACAGATCCTCAATCAAAAAAACAGTTTTAATGAGATCTCTGGTGTCCCTGCTGCTCCTCCAAGGGAAACTCCATCATTTTAATAATGGTTGTCACTTTAAGATGTGGGGTAAGATTGAAATCCACTCTTGAGAGTGTATAGAGAGCTAATGAAAAATCACATCTCATGTTTGTTTAACAATAAAATTCAGAATGATAAGGTTTTTTGGCAGACAGTGACAAATTCCTGACATCCTACACTGAATATTTAATGAAATATTATTTTAATAATAATATATTGCTCACTAGGGCCCAGGGCCATTTCTGGCATTTGTAAGTAGTAGTTCATTTATTCATCATAATACTTTGACTAGGAGCCACTGCTGTCTGCAGTTTACAGACAAGGAGACTGGTAGAAAATTTAGGTGACTATCACCGCATGGCTAGTAAGAGTCCAAGCTGGGACGTCAGCCCATGCATCTGGCTTCACTACCTTATTCTCTTCTGCTTTCCACGTAAGTTACTTTGATTTGTTTTGGTGTGGCGATGACAAAATATCGGAGGCAGAACAGTTTACAAAGAGTTTATTTAGTTCACAGTTCTGAAACTTCAAGAGCATGGTGCCAGGATCTGCTTTAGGGAGGGCCTCTGGTGGGGTAGCAGGTAGCTATGGAAGAGCATGGGGGGGGGGGCAGCAGAGACAGAAAGACAGCGAGAGAGACAGACTTTTTTTTATAATAACTCATCATCATGGTATCGAATCCAGCCCTGCACAAATGCAAGAATTATAAGGAATCAGCACTGATTCCTTCTCTTAACTTCTCTTCCCGTTGCTGTGATGTAGTCCTCTGAGAAAAGTAATGTAAGCGACAAAGGGTTAGCTAAGGCTCACAGCACAAGGGTAAAGCGCACCATGACAGGGTCGTCAAGGTGGCAAGAGCTTGAAGCAGCCGGTCACGTGACAGTCAGAAAGCAGGGAGGGGCCAATGAATGCATGCTGGTGCCCAGCTCATTTTCTCCGTTTTACACACTGAGTTCCAGGATAGCCAGGGCTATCCAGAGAAACCCTGTTTCAAACAACACCTGTGCGTGTGCGTGTGTGTTTGTGTGTGTGATGTGTTCGGGCTCAGAATTCATCATGGTAGACATAATTTTATATTTCTGTTCATTTAGCTATAAAGCAAATTGCGTGGGAAGTCATGACTTGTGAATGGTTTCCCTGAGAAGTCATTGCTCTTTGTTCCATTTTACCTTGAAAAGGCATCCCTCTGCCTCTGTTACCGGCTTCCTTCTCCAGACATCGAACATTTAGTAGGAGGTAAGTTAGAAGAGCGCTCCGCTATTACCTTTAAGACAGGTTTTGAACTAAAGCATTTCAGACAATCTTTCATCAGTTTGGCCAAAGGTAAAAAACAAATGAAGACACAGGAGAAAAATGATCCCCTGTAATTCTTTTATTTTTACTTTATTGTGGTTCTGGGGGTGGAACTCAGGGCTTGCCTTCGGTAGGCAGGCTTTTCATCAGTGAGCTGTGTTCCAGTCCTAAAGATGACAGCCATTTTGTCACAATAACCAAAGTGTTTGTTTGTTTGTTTTGAGTTAGAGGTTCTCTGTGTAACAGCCCTGGCTGTCCTGGAACTCACTTTGTAACCAGACTGGCCTTGAGCTCACAGAGATCCACCTGCATCTGCTTCCCTAGTGCTGGGATTAAAGGCATGTGGCCCCAAAGTGTATTTTACAAATAAAGAATGTGTTTTCTCTGCTTTAAAAAGGCTGTTGTCTATGGCCCTAGTCAGTGTAGGGGCCACTAGCCACTACTGAGTCTTCAAAGTCGGCTACTCCAACTTGGGAGGTGGTGAAAGACTAAAATGTATCAGATTTTACATACTTGTTATGAGAAACATCTTTAAAATATTCCATGAACACCTTTTGAATATCAATTACCTGTTGAAATGATATTTTATATACATTTTAAAAAATAAATTTTATATTACAATTCATTTAATTAAAAAAGTTTACCTTTACAAATGTGCAAATATGGCTGTGGGATGTTTAAGACCATGTGTGTGACTGTATTTGTCTCTGGGCCCTGATTGTGGGACATTTAAGACCATGTGTCTGACTGTATTTGTCTCTGGGTCCTGGTTATGGGATGTTTAGGACCGTTTGTGTGACTGTAAGTGTCTCTGGGCCCTGATTGTGGGATGTTTAAGACTGTGTGTGTAACTGTGTGTGTCTCTGGGCCCTGATCTGAGGCACCAACATTTCACATGTGAATTATATTGCTCGAGAGGTTTTTGTCGAGAGCTTTAAAAGAGAAAACAGTTATTACAGTTAAAACAGTCATTTACCCAGAAGCCTCTCTGACCAAAAGGAGTCAGGTAACAATTATTAGAATAAGATAGAAAAGGGGCAGGGAGTTGAGAAAATAGGAAATACAAGTAAATTCAGGGACAAGATGCCAGTTTTAGTACAAAAGGCTGTCAAGTGACTGCCAGCTAAATGTTGGAGCCTCATGTATGACATTTCTTAAGCACTAGTATTTTCTCACAATTATATTCATTTAATTCCCTGTCAGTGCTATGCCATTAAAGCTAAGGATAGCCCACCCGTGCCTCTCTCGGGGCTTTCCTGTGTACTCATCACTGGTATTGTTATGTAATTATTACCAACATGATAATGCTTGCTTTGTGTGAATTCTACACAAAGGCCTCTCAAATGACAAGGAACACACACCAGAACGGAGGTGATCTTAGCTCTAGTGATGATATTTCGGCAGTATTACCATGGCAACTGAATGGTCACATCTGTCCCACCTGCCAGGCAGTTATCGGTATTGGGAGTTCACCTTCCCCGTTGTTGAAGTTGCATTATTACCGGTTATTTTCTGAGAGACCCTACAAGTTCATCTGTGCATTTTGCTTTATTCCTATAGATCTTTGTCACTTGTAATTCTTACCTCTTCTATGTTGTGTGAAAAATGGCTATAGCATTTGCCAGCAGAAGAAGGTAAAGGAGATGGTGACATTGAGCCTGAGAGCTTTCTGTACAGTAATCAGAGGGATGGTAGGTACTGGGGGTTGGGCAGATGGGTCAATGGGTAAGAGCCCTTGCTGTACAAGTGTGGGAAACTGAGTTCAAATCCTAAGCACCTATGTAAAAAACTGAGTGTGGACCGTGTTTTCCTTTAACCCCAGTGCTGTGGGGGACAAACCAGAAGGATTACTGGGGCTTACTGGATTCCAGAATAGTTCCAAGTTCAGTGGGAAATCCTGTCTTAAAGTAATAAGAAGAAGAATAGGAAGGGACATGCTTCATCCTGTGAGCATGCGTGGGAAAGCAAAATATGTGTATAAAAACCACATACATACTCACATAAATATACACACACATACCAGGGAGGGAGAGGGAGAAAAGAGGGAGGAAGGGAGAGAGAGAGAACGCTCTTCAAGTTTTGTTTTTGATGGCTTTGGCTCGTTGAGAATGATATTAAAGTACAGACTATAGAGGTGAGTGCTTTGTGTTTGACAGGGTCACCATGGGACTCGAGGGATGGGTGGGGATCTGAGTGGAGAGTAGAGTTCCCTGCTGGGTGTCAAGGACCCCAGCATCCCAGAGAGACATCCAGACAGTGAATTCTGAGGATGCTCTTGGGATCCACAGTCCGGATGTTTCTGCCTGTCTTCAGAAAGACGCGTGAGCATGGACAGTGGGGCCAGAGGCCCTTCTCTGACCCACCCACCCCAAATCTGGTATACTCTGAGATCTGTAGGCAACCCCAAGGAAGTAGAGCAACTGACTGAGGAGTGAGATCAGTTTTATCACCAGCTGACTGCTTGTGTGTCCGGAGTAGAATATAACGATATCAAGTAAGTTTTAGTCTTTTCCTAAGTGACTTCATGGATGGTACCAGCCTTGGAGGTGCCTGATCGGGCCGTGACTTATACGTATAAAAGTGGACTGAAATTGTTTACAGAAGGTAATCTAGGTGCGACTTCTACATTCATCTTGTCTAGATTCTTCCATTTTAGATGAGGAAATTAAAATTTAAGGCCAAACGCCAGTATATTGTCAATCTTCCTCAGTCCCCTGCCCCATGTACTTTCCTTTCTATGTTAATACATGGTTGGGAAGCATCTAAGGCATAGTTAATTGGTAAAGCATTCTCCTAGTGTGCACAAAGCCCAGGGGTTTGCATTCCAGCACTACACCAAAAATTAAAAAAGTAAAAAAATTATCATTTCATACTGGCCATGAACAGCCCTGTGAGTATAAGAGATCATAATTTTAAAGTGAAGGTAATACAAACTGTACAAAAATCAGGCCATGAGAGTCGGGGAAAATGACTTTATCTCATCGGTTTTTCAGTTATTTCTCAGTGTGGGAATTGGGAGAAAATAACCCGAGCTATGCTTAAAGTGAAAGACATTACAGTTTCTGAGAGTCAAATGCCGTACCTAAGACATTTTGAATAGGGATATATGTATGTGTGTGTTAGATGTACAGGTACAAGTCTGCCAGTTATCAAACACTGGATTTAAATTGCTTTTCAGACAGAGAGAGAGAGAGAGAGAGAGAGAGAGAGAGAGAGAGAGAGAGAGAGAGAGAGAGAGAGAGAGAGAGAGAGAGAGAGAAAGAAAGAGAGAAAGAGTTAAGTTTAGTAAATAACTAAGTCACTTTCCTGTGGACTCTCCACTTCTAGTCTAACATTCCGGATTACCTACTCTGCTCTAACCTGTGTCTTGGTCCTATTTTCTCTCCCTTCCTCTTCGCAGGCACAAGATGAACTAGAATTTGGCTTCTTGTTTCTCTCAGGACCTCTGTGTGAGAGAACAGAGAAGACCAGGAGAGCTCTTGCAGAGGAGTCCTGTGGTAGCCCTTGAGCAGCTCGGTGGCCAGAAGACCTACCTAGCCTGCCAGCTCTGCACTCGCCCCTGTGGCAGTGAGTTCACATCAACTCTCAATGCCCACATGGCAGAAGCCCACCCTGAAGGTGCCACCTCACTGAGAGATGTCCCTGGAGGTCAGCCGTCTGTTCAGATGTTCCGATAGACTTCTCTCTGCCAGCAGGGCCCGTGGCGGATGAGGGTGAGCAGCAGTATCACTAGGATACCAGACACCAGGCAAAAGGTAATGGCAAGGATGACCCTCAGGACTGCAAAGACAAATACACCGATGGGAAATTAATATGTGGAGATCACAACAACACCCCCCTCAATGAAAGCCCTAAAAAGCAGATGAAAATCGCATATCGTTGTTGACTTTTTGCCTTAATTTAAAACTTAAAAAGATATTTTATTTTGTGTCAGCAATATAGTTTTCACAAAACTTTTGCTTTTGTCCTTCTACTTTTTTTGCTGTGTGAGACAGAGTCTCACACAGTCCAGAGGGACCTTGTACTTGCTATGTTGCCAAGGATGAGCTAGCTAGCTTGCACTCTTGATCCTCCTGCCTCAACCTCCCAAGTACTGGGATTACAAGTGTGCGCCATCATGTCTAGCTTTCCTGCCTCGATGGTAAATTCTAGAGGCATGTCTGAAGCAGCCTTGGATTCAGTAGAGAGTGTTGGATAGAACACAGAACTCAGAGTCAGGAGGGGACTTAAGTTCTAGTTTCAGCATGACCTTTGACATTTGGCCTCAGCTCTCCACTGCAGAGGGAAGGTAACTGAGAGAAGTGTCTAAGGTTTTCTCATAATGTGACTTCTCTCCTTCCTCCCTCTTTTCCTTCCTTCTCTCCTCCTTCTTCCCTTCCTCCCCCCCATGGACTGGGGTAGGGGGCGGTGGGGGCGGGAGGTGACAGCATACTGGCTTTTGGCCTTAAATTTTAATTTCCTAATCTAAAATGGAAGAATCCAGACAAGATAAATGTAGAAGTACATCTAGATTATTTTCTGTGAACATTTGTCGTCCACTTTTACTATGTATAAGTCATGGCTCAACCAAGCACCTCCAAGGCTGGCACCATGCATTTGCCTGGTATCTGGTATCCTAGTGATATGGAAGACCATAGTGATACGGTCTTCTCATAATGCTAATTCTCTCCTTCATCCCACTTTTTCTTTCTTCTCTCCTTCGTCTTTCCTCCCTCCTCCCACCCCATGGACTGGGCTCAGATTCCTCAGTGAATTTCATGCATTTTTCTATGGTTTAAATTATCAGAAGCTCAGTGGAAAATTTGAATAACTCACTTCGAGCAATTGACTAAGATAAGTGGAACCATTCTGCCTTTTAAAACTGATTTTTCAAAAAAGCATGTTTTATGGAGAAACTGAGCATAAGTTGAGTTTGGGGGACATTTATTGGATAATCACAGAGTGGTGTGAATCTGTAATTATTGAGAAAGATCTCTTGATAGATGATGGTGAGCAGCCGTGAGGAGATACACAAGGTCATATTTCAGATGAGAAACTAATAAATTAGAAAGTTGCTCTCCCTGGCACACATTGTTCACTGAAGCTGACATACCATACCAGCTTGCTCCATCTCTCAGTGCACACCTCTGTTGTTGGTGCTTCAGACAGGGTTTCTCTTTGTAGCCCTGGAACTTGCTCTGTGGATCAGGCTGGCCTTGACCTCAGAGTTCTGCCTGCTTCTGCCTCGGGAGTTCTGAGAGTAAAGGCATCTGCTACCATGGCCAGCCACACATCTTTTAATTGTACAAACATGGGGTGACTGAGGCAATGGGAAGCAAACATTGCTGGTCCTGATGTCTCATCTACGGAACAGTAGCGCTCTAAGAGCGCAGACGAAAATCACTGATTTAGCCTAACCTTGTTGCAGAGGGAGGAAATGAAGAAGTAGATCATTTGATAAAGGCTCAGCAGGTAATTTTATTGTCCTAGAAACAGAGGATCTTATCAGTCGCACGATTTCAAATCCATCTGTTCACTAATGACTTCCACCTCAGGCTTGATACATAAGCAATGTGTACTTGGTATGTAGCAGTCTCCCTTACCTATGGCTTCAAGTTCTGTGATATCCGCTACCCATGGCAGTCAACCACTGTGTGAATACATTAAGTGGAAAATTCCAGAAATAAACAACTCCTGGGTTTTAAATTCTGCGCCTCTCTGGGAAGCAGGATGGTATCTCACGCCGTCCCACTCCTTCCCACCTGGGATATGATGGAAGTGATGACTTTGTCTGGCAAGACTCTGCTGTATGTCCTGGCTGCCACCAATCACACCATAGCACCTTGGTTACCGGGCAGTTGTCATGGATCTCAGTGCCTCTGTTCATGTAACCCTAATTTCCTCAATAATGGTTAAAGATACAGTAGTAGTAATACTGGAAACTGGATTCGTGAAGAGAAGCTGTAATGTATTTTCCTTGAGTGAAGGGTGAAGATATACAGCAGAGAGAGAGAGAGAGAGAGAGAGAAAGAGAGAGAGAGAGAGAGAGAGAGAGTACATTTATATGCCCTCCATTGTAATACATTTAAATAATTATTCTATCTTTGTTTTGGTTTTGAGACCAGATCTTATGCAGTCCAGGTAGCTAGAAACTGGCTGTATAGCCAAGGAACATCTTCTGGTCCTCCTGTCTCCACCTTCTAAGTACTGAGATTATAGGAGTACACTATCACACTGGGTTTATGCGGTCCTGGGGACTGAAACCCAAGCCTCCTCCCTACAGATTGGTTTTTCTCATAGCCACCCTTTCCTTGGATGATGAAAACTCCCTTCACTTAGGGGGGAAAATGAGTCTTCTGTGATTCCTTTATTTTCTAAATAGCCTACACCTGATCTGTCAGGAAAACCTGTTCTATTGGGGAAAAAAATCTAGAAATCAATGGCTCTCCCCATCTCTGCAACCACCCTGGTTCTGCTAGTCCCATTTACCAGGACCACTGGAATGGCCTCTTGGCCTATCCCCAGCTTCTTGTTTCTCAATCTGTTTTAAGCACAGCCGCCAAAGGCTTACAAGTCAAATCTTGTCCTTCTCCTCCTTCGGGGGAAGTCTACTGTGGATATATCCATCAGAGCAGAAGCTGAGGTCCTGATAACGGCTCTCTTCTTGTCACACTGTCCTTCTAGCTTTTCTTCAAATGCCCCTTAGCCTCCCTGCTTGGTGCTATCGCTTCAGCTGATAGCATTGCTGGAATACTCTTCCAGCCTAATGGGACACGCCTTTCCTGTCTTTGCTCAAGTCTTATCTTTTCAATGAAGTCTTCACTTTTCAAAGTCCCATTCATGTACCATCTGCCAACAGTAACTTGTGATCTGAATCTTTCAGAATACTCATTACATTTATCATTTGTCTCTTGTTTCTTCTAACTGACTATCCATTTCAGGAACTTTGTATTTATGGATCATAGATCAGTACCTGGCCCATATGTGTTAGTGAATATTATTGATAAAATTAGTGACCTAAAGGAGGGTGTGGCTCAGTTGGTAGAGTGCTTGCCTAGCATGATCAAAGGCCTGGGTTTGAGTCCCAGTACTACATAAATTGGGTGGCGGTAGAGATACACCCACAAACCCATACCTCAGGAGGCAGGAGGGTCAGAAGCTCAAGGACATTCTTCCATCACATAGGGAATTTGAGGCCAGCCTGAGATACATGAAACCATGTTCCAAACACAAAACAACCCCCTGAAAAATACACCAAAAATGATGACTTATAAACTGCCAACTTTTAGTTCAATGTTTTTTTTTTCATGACCAGGATGCTGCTTAGTGCCATGAAAAAATCTAATTTTAGGAACTTTAGAGCCCAAGAGACAGTTGATTAGAGCTGTAGATGGAGCTAAAATAAAGCTAGAGAGAACCGAACAGAATTGAAGAAGGAAAAAAGAGACTGGGTGGAAACAAAGAAGAGAGACAAACACTAATGATTTCTCTCTCTCTCTCTCTCTCTCTCTCTCTCTCTCTCTCTCTCTCTTTCTATCTCTCTATATCTATCTATCTNTATCTATCTATCTATCTATCTATCTATCTATCTATCTATCTATCATCTTTATCTTGTCTCGGGGAAAAAAATCTATTTTCACAGGGCTGGGAATGATGACATGTGCCTATAATCCCACCATTTGGGATGTTGAAATAGAAGGATTTTAAGCTCTTGAGTAGCCTGGGCTATAATAGTGAGTTCCTGAAAAGGTAAATCTATTTTCATGATTAGTTTTCTGAATTTAGAAATTTAATTTTTAATTAACCCATTAACTTTGGCTATGCTATTACAGCAGTCCCATAGGATAAGCGTCCCCACACTTTCCTGCCTGTACCAGGAAGGCTATGGGAGGTACTGAGACCCCCATATGCTCTGCTCCTGAGAAACCCAGATAGGCAGTTATGTGATAGTGTGACCCATGCTGAAATGGAGGTGTTACTGTTGCCATTCAAACAGAGAAAACTGCAACCAGCAGAGTATATTGAATTTGCAAAAGGGAAAAATTGGAAAGCTTATGAGATGCGAGATGACCTGTATAAGGAATGGAATTTTCAGTGAGACAGAAATTGTTGCACAGGGTACATTTGGGACACAGTGAGTAGCGCATGGGAGTTGGGGTGGGTAAGACTTGATGTGTATCTTAAGGTCCAACTTTTGGGTTTCTGGTTTAGTCTTGTTCTGAAGCACCTGGGAATGACCAGTAATGCTCAGGAGGGATGAGCTGTTGTCTGAGTTTAGGAAAAATAACCTGTGATGTCATGATGGTGATGACAAGGTATGTTGGGTAGGGAGCCGGGTACCCAAGGCTCAGAACTAGAGTTGTGGACGTAGGGACACAGATAAGGGAAGTAGAATGCTGGTCAATCCTGGGTTGAGTTGAAAAGTGTTGGTGACAGACTAAAGACCACTGGTCGAGGGTAGATGCAGCTGAGCCGATCCCACAGATTTGTGCTGTGGCTAGGGATGAGCACCACAGACAGGGCTGGTACAGACTAGAGGATGAAATGACTTTTGTTTTCAAATGGGATGGAGACGAGCTCTTCTGCGGATAGACGTGGCCAAGAGGTGGCTGGGAAAAACAGGCCTGTAATTTTTCACTTAGATGCGACAGTGGGGGTTGAAGATGTCGGGGACAGGCCCGTGGTGAGCATGGGATGAGGACACAGCTACCGGTTTTTGAGATGTGATTATTTCAGGGGTTGGTGGAAGGAATCTATCCAAAAGAGTCTGGGCAAGGGACCTGAGAGAACAAACAACAAAC